ACACACACACACACACACACACGTGTATATATATATATGTATGTATCTATGTGTGTGTGTGTGTGTGTGTTTATATATTTGTTGTTATTATTTCTTGTAGTGACTCCAGTGTACTGTTTACTATTCACTTGTCCTCCAGATATCTCAGCAGATAGAAAATAGCGTTAGAACAAACAACAACATCTTTAACAAATTAATAATGTCACCAATGCAGTTTGCTGGAAAAGCATTCCATCTGCTAGGGATGTGGATACATTTTTAATCCTACACCAATWTTAAATCTGACAGCAGATTCCAAAATAACACTTCAAACCAAACAAAATAACACCAGAATCCTGTGATTATCTCATGAGGGAAGTTATTGATGTTTGTTTAGGTGAAATCAGCTCATGTTTTCTTGCTGCAGTTCACAGCAGAACCAGTGTGACCATTTCACCTTCTTGTTTTCTGTTTTTGCTCATAACTTCCTCAGTGTTCAAGATATCGCCATGAAATTTTAGGAAAAGATTCACCTTCTGGTTTTGTAGGAAGCATCTTGTATCCTAAAAATCCTAATAAAACTTAATAATAGCCAATTCAAAAGTAGCAAAAAAGGTATAAAATAATATTACAAGGCAAACTGTAGCATCAAATCAACTTAATGTGTCTTTAAAGTAAGGAAATTAAAACAATTTAAAAGCCATGTGGACATGTGTTTTGTAAACAAAGCTCCTCAACCAATGACAGCGTGTTAAATGTGTCAGGTGACGAAGACGAGCGTCAAAACACGTTACAACAAGCGCTGTTCCRGATAAAAAAACATACTTCGACGTTTCACATCGTTATCAAATTTGGAAGAAGGCCAGATAAAATAATATTCTTCATGGCAGCTTATCTCTTTAAGGTTCACTAGAAAACTCGGGTGATTTACTTTGATCCTATTTTCAAAAAAATTGTCTCTTCAAAACACATCAGATATTAAAAACTCAAAGACGAGGCTGTAGCTAACTACCTGATGTCAGCACGGTTTGTTGAAACTCATAGAAATAACGAAGCAGGAGGAAATAACAAACACACAGAGCAGCCTTGTAAAATCTGGTCACAGCAGTTTGGGAAGAAAATGGCAGCTGCCGACGAGAGATCAACATCCCTACATTTGCTGTTAAGATGTTACAAAATTGTATAATCCAAATATTTTCAAAGCTTAAAATAATAAAATCCAGGATCTAAAGCCCACACTGCTGCCTCCATTGCATCGTTGAAATGTCAGCTTTGTGTGTTTAGTGTTTCTGTTGTGGCCCTTCCCTGCAGACATGGGGCCTGCAGGACAGACAGAGTTTACTGGAGTGTCTGGCTCAGCTTCTTCTGGAGAAAGATCACACCCTGCTGATTGCTCGACACCTTCGACCTCTGSTCTTGGAGCTGTTGGAGCGGAGTGCAGTGAGGGTCCGAGCTGGTGGCAGGATCAACCATGACCTTCATGAGCGCTTGTGTGTGGCCCTCAGCAAACTTCTCCACATTTGTCCCGATGCACATGTGTAAGTTGGCCTTCTTGTGTTCTCTGCTTTTTGTTCTGCGTGTCCATGAAACTRCCTGGTTGACTTAAATACTGAATGATGCACAAAACAATCATTAAAAGTTTGGTTCAGTGTTTCAGCTTTGAAACAAAACCTGTATACAGTCATATGAAAAAGTTTGGGCACCCTTGTTAATTTTCCTCATTTACCTTTATAAATCATTGATTGTTTGGATTTAAAAAATCAGTAAAATATATCATATAGAGGACAAACACAGTGGCTACGTTCACACTGAAGGTCTTAATGCTCAGTTCCGATTTTTTGAAAAAATCCGATCTTTGTGTGTGACCGTTCACATTACATTTTAACTGTGACCTGCATCAGACCCCTGTGTGAACACTACACAGCACTGATGTGACACGCATGCGCAGTAAAAGACGTGACGTCTCATCAGCCGGCTTGTTTGTTTACAAAGCTAGCATGGATGCTACATTTTGCGCATCGAATCAGAAGTTGTTGTTTAATCAGAGCCGATTAAATAATTATCTGACCTGCTTCTTTAGTTCAGTGTTTATATCTGAAGCTGCCTCTGACCGGGATGCTCCAGTAAACGACGAATCTACGAGCTGGAAAAAAGTATCGACCAAGTATCGAACTTTAGGATCGATACTCTCTGTGACCCAGGCTGGACATCGT